TAAGAAAAAAATCCTGCTTTCTTTCTGGGGTACTTAACTAAAATCCTATGTAAATACACTAACATTGAGTGCAACTTATGGGTCACACTTTATTCCCCACTTGCCCCAGATATTCACAAAAATCTTCAATAACAGGTTTTGCATTCTCAGAGACCTATTAACAAACATTTAAACTTGGCCCGTGGCATCTTCAAAATAAAGACAAACTTGCGACAAGTACCAAAGCTCAACAAACTCAAAAACAGGCCCAACTTGCTTTGACTTTAAAAAAAATACCTGTCTCCTCAAAATGATGCGGAGACCCCACCTAGAAAAAAGAAAAACAAAAGATCACAAAGCTGCTGTTACAGAGAACCAAGACTCTCACAAAAAAGCTACAGCCAGCTGGGCCCTTCTCCACCTGGGATGTGCCCCAATACAAAGTGGGGAGACACTGAAGTAAGAATGCCCTCTCCTCACAGGAGAAGAGAGGCCACCCACTCCTGTTAGCTGCCCTAAAAAGTTAAAGGTTTCTCAGGTCTCTCAAAGCCACTTTCAGCAAAGTCGCTGTTACCCTAGATATGCCTCAAATAATTATTGACGTGACAGATAAAAATATAAATTTTATTTCAGATAGGGAGTCTTATTAATATGCCTTATAAGGACTGTATTGCAACTGCTATTGATGTTATCCCTAAGGCCAAATGCTTTACAATGCTTCTAACCTTTAGATTTTAAAAAATTAATTTACACTCAGGCTTTCCTAGTTTTCCCAAAATGCCCTACTCCCTTATTAAAAAGGGATTTTTTTTTAGGCCTTTTGAGGGACAACTCTTTATCTGGCACCAAAATATTCATTCCCCCCCTTTTTTTTTTTTTTGAGAATATTAATATCAAGTGCACCAGAAAATATATTTAGAGACATACCTAAATATTTTTTATCAGCAATAGACTCACAGGTTTGAGATATTAAAATCCCAGGAAGGGCAATTCATGCCCAACCTGTTGTCATTTCCTTTAAAAACCCAAATAACTATAACTATTCTCACCAGAGACAACATCCAGGCTACAGCAGGCTGGGGTTAGCTCAGCAGCTCAGCTGAAGAGCCTGGGGTGGGGGTGAGGTTGTCAATCCCCAGTACAAGACAACATCCTGTTAAACCAGAGAACCACTGGGGACTCAGCCTCTGGCTTCTAAATTTCTCAGGCATAGTCTTTAGTCTGTTGACATTCCCCATCCTATATGCCCACCTTTCCAATACTAAATCCAAATTAAAAAACGTCAACTATGAGGACTCTGGGAACATGGCAGACAGATAGCAGCAGCTACGGAGGCTCTCTGAAAGACCCAGCGTAGGATTCAGGAATGGTGCGGAGTAAGGAATCATAAGCAAGAGGAGATATGCCCTGCTGACCCAAGAACAAACTGGGCTGAGAGAAACCAACTGGGAACACAATCCTGGAGCTATAACAGGAACAGAAAAGCCTCAGTGTGGAAGCTGGAGCCCGTGCCATTGGAAGCCGCGATTTGGGTTTCCCGTCGCTGCTGCTGGGTCTACATCGGCTCGGCAGGGAGAGAGATTCTCGAAAGCTCTGAGCATGGGAATTGGTGAGCGGAGTTGAAAGCAGGACGGGCAGGGAGCTGTGCATTGACCTGCGGTAAGTGAGAGAAACTGGGACTCTTACACAGTCTAGGAGACTCCAACAGAGGACATTCTGGGACCGGAAGACTTGCGGGAACAGGGTGCTGCAGTGACTTCAGTCACGTATCCCCCTTCAAGCGGGATTGGTGAGCAGTGTCTGGCCTACGTGATGCTGGCTGCTGGCTGAGACCCAGTAGGCTAGCACAACACAGATCCCAGCACCTGAGGTAGATTGACCTGGAGGGGCGGGCCCTGCATAGGCTGCCTAGTCTGCAATTTCCTGGTGCGCTGCGGTGGGCGTGAACACCTAGCCGGTGCAATTCAGACTGTGGCCGACAGAGAAGGAAGCTGGGCCTCCTATATATGCTTACATATATAAGGAACAAAGAATATGGGAAGAGGCAGCAACAAGAAAGGCTCCTCGGCCCCCAGTCCTGAGAAAGAGGCAATAGCAGACACAGCACCAATAGATATAAAGCACTATCTCCAGAGCCTCATAGACAAGTTCAGGAATGAAGTTATTAATGACCTGAAGCTAGACATAGACATAAGCAGAATAGTTAGAGAACCGCTAAGCACCATCCAAGAAAAAAACAGATGGTGGAATGAAGAACAGAAAAAGAGGGGAGAATTATTTAATGGAGAAAATAGAGAAAGCATAGAATACATGAAGCAGGTTCAAAGAGATTACCAGGAAACAAAAAACTCTATCGAAAACTGGCATAACAGCTTGAAAGAAACTAAGGACTGATTATCTGAACTGAAGGGCAGATTTGTAATATGGGAGCGTGAAATGAAAAACTTCTTAAAAATAAAGAAACAAACAGCAATAAAACAAAGACTAGAATATGATAAAAGGATCTACAACTTAAGAATTAAGAACATAAAAGAAGTAGGGACACAAACAAATGAACTACAAAAGCTACTCACAGAAATAATCCAGGAGAATTTTCCTAATTTAGCAAAAGGTAAAGATACTCAGTTGTATGAAGCATACAGGACCCCAGCCACCTACAACCCAAACAGACCAACACCCAGGCATATAATAATCAAAATTCCAGAAATCAAATACAAGAACAGAATAATAATAATAATAATCACTAGCTATTTCACAAGTTCTAGTAACCAGCAACACCAGAGAACCCTCCTGAGGCTGGAGGCTGAGGGAGTGACTTAAAGCTTTTTATTTAAATCCTAGTCTGTGGTTATGTGTAATCTTTCCTGACTAATGTTATTAGCATCTTCTCTGTCTTGATTTTTTCTTAACTAGTTTCCAAATCTCTTTAGAAAATAACTTTTGTTCTTTTACTGACAGTGTCTTCTGGATTTTTAAACATTTCTTTTATTGATTTCTGATTTTATTTCTATTAACAGAATTCTTTTTTAGTTTTTCTAACTGTAGATTGTACATTGTATTATAATACATACACTTAATGATATGTAAACACGGTATAATCATATGTGAGCAATAAAACAAAAACTCGGAATAAATAAATATAGCATTATATGATTTCATGAGTTGGGCTTTTCTGTACTCTCCCAGTTCTATTATGTACAATTTCTGCTTTTCTTTTGTTCCTAATGAGTTTATAAATCCCTTTCACATTACTCCATAAATAATTACAATTATTATCTATTAATCAAAGGAATTTTAAATCATTTATGGAAATTTAAAACTTAACTCTTCTGATAATAATAATACTATTTGTAACTATGTATGAATCAAATTATCACACTGTACCCCATAAATTTATACCATTAAAATGAAAATTTTAAAGCATCAAAATATTTTATTATAAAGTATTATAATATGCTTTTTTAATCCAGATCTTAAGCATCTTTAAAATTCCAATTGTATATTAGTCAGGAAATGTTTTGTTGTAAATTCATCCTTTTGGTGTGGTGGTCGGGATTGAACTCAGGGTTTTGTGCCTGCTGGCAAGCACTCTACAACTGAGCTGCACCCCCAGCCTTCTTTAGAGTATTTGTTGGGTGATGTAGTCTGTATGATCACTAGCTTTTAAACTGGGTTGACCTTTGGTTTGTGACTTGGTTCTATTTTTGTACGAAAAGCACAGAACATCTCTGTTTCAGAGTGCACAAAGCTGTGCTACATGTGGTTACATTTCATGTGTGTCCCTGAAGATTATTTCTAATGGGCTGAAGACTGCTGCCAGCTCTTCCAGTTTCTCCCAGTCCCCAACTTAAGTTGTTGCCAGGCCTCACTCATATCCACTTCACAAACCCATGGCATGAAGATCTGCCCTGGCTCTCCCAGTGGGGGCATGTCACCATCCAGCCACTAGAAGACTAGGTGAGAAACATTAATGATGTGAGAATCTAGTATAAATAACATTGGCCTCTCCACACATCAGCTGGTGAGCCCAGACCAGGCCTTTCTGGGTTTTCTACTTCCTCCTTTCCTTACCATGGGTGGTCACATCTGCCCTACCAACATATCAAGGTGTGTCAGAAGCCAAGAGATAAGGAAAGTGACCAACATCAAGTGATAAAGAAATAAAACACACTAGCAGGGATTGCTAACACAATTGCAGAAGGGAAAGATAGCTCCATGAAATGGCTAACACAGGCTCCCAGCAGGTACTGCTTCTATTGGTTCCCTTCCCTGTCCCCAGCCACCTTCAGCTCCCTCTAGGGAAACCCTCCCTCCTGCAGGAAGACGCCACTGCCCATAATAACGCGAATCCCGTGTCCACACGGGACTGCAGCTTGGAACCTGCTGAAAGCGCGCTGTGGCCAGAGCAGAAACCTGCCTGCAGCTCAGATTCGCGCTTCAGCACAGTCAGCTGCGGCAGAGCATGTGCAAAGCCTCTCCTTCCGCAGTAGGGGCCCAGCAGCAGATGCTCCCCAAATGCTCCTTCATCAAAGGAGGCTTCCGCCCCCGGACGCCTCCGGGCCTTGGGCAGAAGGAGTCTGGCCACCGAGCTCCAGGGTGGGGGTGCTGCCCTCCTCCGAGCCCCTAGCCAGCAGCCACGGCCTGAGATGTAAGCACTGCCCTGAGTCAAAGCAAAGCAGCGCTGGGCGATGTTCTGAGCGCGCCTTTCCAGGGAGGATGCCGGGTCCTGCGCCCCCTGCAGAAGCTGCTGAGCCGCCGCAGCCCGGCCGCGCCCGCCCCTGCACCAGCCGCCGCGGGCTGCCCAGCCCTCGCTCCCGGCTCGCCCTCCTGCCGCAGTCGGGCCCAAATTAATTCTCTGCACCTGGGAGGGCACACGCACGTTCTCCAGACAGGAGCCTTTCATCTGTCCACCCCCGGGGCGGGGGCGGTTTTCAGCCGTCAACCTGCAGCCATCCGGGCAGGGGGCAGGCGCAGGGAGCCGGGAGGGGGCACTGGCACCGGGCTGAAGGGCTCGCTTCCTCCGGTTTCGGACGAACACGGTGGGATGCGTGCTCGGCGGGCTGTTGCCCGGGCCGAGCCCCGGACTCGCTGAGCAGCCTGACGAGTTCGGACAGCATCAGCTGGCACCTTTGCCTCGTGCTGGAACCTGGCGGGTGCGTGCAGGGCGCAGGCTTCTCCTTGAGCTGGTCAACCCGACTTAGGCTCAGCCCCCGACCTCTCACCTCGGCACCTCCTGTTTATCCTCTGCCCCCCACCGCCCTATCATCACCCCCATGAGCGCGCGCGCACACACACACACGCACACGCACACGCACTACCACCAAAGGACTTGCCCCTTGGGTAGTGTCGGGGCTCCCAGCGCGGTTGAGGGGCAGGCGCCTCCCTGTCCCCTCCCCACTACCCCCTTCCTCTGCTCTAGGTTTTACTGCAGCAGCTGGAGGTGACAGCGACGCCTCAGCCTCCTCCTCAGTTGCTCTCGGAGCCCGGGTTTCCCCTGCCATCCGGAAAGCGCCCCCTCCTAAGAGGCTGGTCCCCGAGGAAGTGAGAACGAGCTGCAGACAACTACATTTTAAAACGCAGAAGTCGCTGTGCTGCATTCCTCCGAGACAAGCCTGATCGCCCAGGACAGGGGCCGCGCCTGGAAGTTGGGACCCGGGAGCAGGGGGGAGGGGAGCGGTGCAGCCGCACACGCTTCTGGAAGGACCCAGCCGCCGGGAGCCTTGCGGTTGGACACAAGTTTGCGTCAGAGTGTTTTCCTTTTGTCAATAATTAATCACCGGAATCAGTCTGGCAGAAGTGGAGTTTTAGCAGTGATGCGGAAGGCGGGGCCCAACACCTAACTCCGGGAGTCTCAGGGTGCCCCGCGCAGAGAGGAGCTCAGAGCAGCTGGGGAGGAGCCAGAGCATCCGTGCTCAGCTAAAGCCGCAGGGAATTGCCTGCAACCCAGAGGTAAGCATCTTCCAGAATACCTGCTTCAACCCTAAAGCAGCTCAGCCTGGACACAGTTCCAGTGTGTACCGAAGGAGGGGGGTTAATACTGAGCTTTAGTGCAGTGTATCAGTTTACTGTTTAACTGCGTTACAATTTTTTAGATGAATGGGTTTTTCCATTTTCCTTTTACTATGTTGCAAACGAAGATGTTTCACTCAGCAGAAGCCAAACTTTGATACTGAAACTTGCCCACTCAAAAGAAAATTATTAATTATTTCCATTATTTATCCACATTGATCTTTAATAACTATTCAAGAAAAGTATCTTTGGGACATACTAGGTTTTCTTAAATCGTTATCTTTGTCTAGTTTCATGCCATTATGCAATACTTTTTTCTTTCTTTCTTTCTGTGGGGGGGAGTATAAACGACTTTAGGCAATAATATACATAAGTCAACTACCAAAAAGGTGAATAATTTTCAACACGGAATGTATTTTAACACTTTTTCATGATTATTAAGCAGTATGTATTTCCTCAAAAATGCCTAAGTGATCATTTATAAATAACCAAACTTCAGCATCTAAGGAGTATGATGAACTGTGCATGTGGCTGGGAAAGGAGATTAGACTAGGTAGGTCACAGTGAGATTCTAGATTTGTTTCAACTAAAATGTATTCAGCTTGTCAGTTCACAGATAGGCCCAGCTCATGATCAAGTAAAGAATGGAAGGAAATTTTAAATGTAAAATCTTAGCCTTCAAAGTGCTAATAAATGCATCAAGGAAGTTGACAAGGTTGTTTTACAAAAGACCTCATAATACAGTAGCTATATTGAATTAAACCAAAATTAAGAAATATGTGATCATGTTTTCCAAACAACTTTTAAAATTTGTACAAAAACTGATGAAGTTTTAATAACTGGACTTCCACCTTTGAATTATTACTATACTTCTTAAAAGCTATCTTTGTAATGATTTTTAATAAGTATGATTTGTATATAGACTACTACTAAGGCACCGACATACTTTGCTATGAAATGCACTGTCAGTCTTACTCAAATATTTCTATACAACTGCTTAATAACAATAAATTAATATGGATTGTCAAGCCAAATGCCTGAGTGGTTTAGAATTTTACTGGATATGATATTGAAAGTCAACCAGTCCTCAATTTTCACCGGTTTTCTTAATCCACTATTTACAAATTAGCAAATATTTTTACAAAAACCAGCCTTGACAGTTTTACTGTTACTCTGTCAGCATAAATTATTTTAACACCATCTATCCAGGAAGCAGAATTTTCCTAAATGGGACTCAACTTCTACATCAGTGGTGTGGAAATCTTTGCACATACATGATTTACAAAACAACAATAAGTGGACCTCAGACATTATCGTGAAGTAATATGGCAAATGAAAAATAGAAAGTGAAATATTTATTCAAAACAATCTATAGCATTGCGGTAAGAAGAGCAAAGTTGGTGGCCTTTGAGCCACAATCCATTTCCCACTCTTCTGCATCCGGGTGTGGTGATGATCTACCTGAGTGAAAAGTGCTTGTCTGAGCAAACACAGCCAAGAACATGGTATTCCCTCTTAGCCACACTCCAGTCTGCAGCTACGATAGAGTCCAAGAAGTAGACCACCAACATTTTCATCCTCTTCAGCTTTCTGTTGCACAAGCTTTCCTGTAGGCTTTCTGCTTTCAACTGGCATCCCACCCTCCACTTTTAAGGCCAAAGATGAATAGCTTGATGATACAAAAAAAAAAAAAAAACCCAAAAAATAAAATAACCCATAGTTAGACTTAGTGTTATAACAACAACTACAACACACACACACGCAAAATAATAATAATAATAACAAGGGTTGGAGAAGATGTGGAGAAATTAGGGCTACAGGTAGAAATGGAATGCTTACCTAGTATATGGAAACCCTGGGCTTGATCCTTGGTGCGTGAGCATAGAGAATTCAGAATTGTCATGCCTTGCTGATTGGAGTATAAAATCATGGAATTGCTGGAGAAGACAGTTCAGCAATTTCTCTAAAACTGCACAGTTTCCAAATAACTCATCAATTCCCTTCCCAGGAAACTCTTGAAAGAACTGAAAACTTACCTGCATGGACGAACTCATACACAAATGCTCATAGCAATACTAATGATAACATGCCAAAAAATGGAAACAATCCTGGTATCCAGTGAATGAATCCACATTCAGCAAATCTACAGAGACACAAACTAGACTAATTGTGCCAGAGGCTGGAGTGAAAGGGTGGGTTAGAAAGAAACGGGAGTGACTACTAAAATGTATGTAGTGTCTTTGGGAGTAATACAAATAGTCTAAAACTATGGTTATTATTGTGTAACTATGACAGTCATACTACTAAAAACTAATAACTATACATTTTAAGTCAGGTGAATCATATTCTAAGTAAATTATATCTCAACAAAGCAGCTTTAAAATTACACATGGTAAGAAATAAATAAATATAAAATTTGAAATTCCTAGTCTCCCATGTAACACTACAACAATAGGTTATGTGAGGCCTTTTCCCCAAAGGACCACTTTGAAATATACAAAATAATTAAAAAATGGCATGGGTGTTACATAGCTGTATGATTTGCACATATTTGCACACCTGTCCAAAATTCCTTCTATTAAAAAAATCAGGTGTCAGTAATATAGGTCTATAGAAAATTTGCATGCAATGTCCGCCCATTTTGGGTTCATTCATTCATTGTACTATCCAGAACCTGTGAGTGCAATTGTTCCTCCTGCTTGTAGAAAAGCTAGACTTTTATCTGTTCCTCAGATCAAGTGTTGAGTTTGTGATAAGCCACACTCAGTGAGAGCAGGAGGTGTCTGAATCTCATTAAAAAGTAAACTTGTCCCTGCCAACATCAGCCAGTTTCATTAAAGCAGAATGAGCTTTAAAGCTGGTCCTGGAGGAGCCAGAGGGGCCACCATAGGACTCACAGTGCGATTCAATCAGGAGAGCATCTGCTAGGAGTATGAGGATCTCCAAGGCAGAAGAAGCTTCTGAACCATTAATTCATTTCTCTGGTGGTCTGTTTTACTTTGGGATCTCACAAGCTTCCTGAGACTGTACTAAGGATCATGGAATTGGGAGATAGTGCTTTGTCCTGAAATAGTAACATGAAATTAGACACTCTCAGAATCTCCTGGAGGTGATGAACATCTGCAGTGTTGCTGGAACAGTTATGAGTACACTGAATCACTCTGTATCCTTACCTTTAAGGCGCCAAGTCTACTTGCTGTAGGAAACTGAAAGCATTTTTCATTCATCCTAGAACAGGCTTATCCTTTTCCATACTTGTTTGTTTGTTTGTTATTGTTTGTTTGTTTTGGTACCAGGAGTCAAACTCAGGACCTTGCATGTGCCAGGCAGTGCTTATGAGCTAAATCCCCAGCGCTCCATACCTGTTTTGAAAATCAAACCATGCTGATGCAATAAGTTCTGTCATCACTTTTTTACATGGCCTATTGTCATTTTTGTGCAATTAAAAGGTTTCTACAAAACATTTTTTAATGTTTAACAATTTATCTATGAGTTAAATAAATTCAGGAAAGTTAAATCATTGTTACTTTTGTTTTCATCAAGATTAAAATTCTGTTTATTCAACTGATATTTACTTACATCTATACTTTCTCACAGCACTTTTAGGCCCTACATAAGTAATAAGCATAACTGACAAAAAATCCTGCTTCAAAGAGCTTACATTTTAGAAAGGACGTCATCAAACATCAACAATAACAAGTGAATGCGTATGTCAAGGAAAGGAGATAAGTGTTCTGGACAAAAATAAAGGAACACAGTGAGGTATTCTTTTAAATTGTGGGATCAGCCTAGGAAGTAAGATTCCATAATTATATAAATGATAGTGCTACTAGATAAAGAGTCCTGGGGAAATTCCTTCCAGGCTCCCAGGGAACAAAGAATTGGATAGGACACGCAGAAAAGACAGCAGGTTGTATTATTGAAAGTAGAAAAGAAGGATGCTCTGAAGAGTGGCAGCAGGCCAGTGAACAGACTCAGAGCCCAGGAGGAAAGGGAAGGGGCCTTTTAAATCTAGCATTCCTGGAGGGCTTCTTTCCCATTGGCTTCATTCTCATGCAAATGCAGGATGGTCCTTCTAGCCAAAACTCACTTGGCCTGGTGCCAGATTTAAATTGTCCTGTCAAAGACCTGCTTGGCTTTATGCTGGATGTAAATGAAAAATGGAAAATTTTTGGATAGCTTCTATGCACAGGCTCATGAGTTGCCTTCATCCTGGCTCCTGGGTTCTACACATGTGCCCTGCATCTCCAGGACTGTGACAGATTATGCCCTGTTAGTTGTCTGACTGATTTGGCCTCAGCCCTAACCTCACATTTCAATAGGCCACAAGGATAGCCAGCTCCAAATTAACTTCTTTCTTACCCTTGAGAACTTTGGGTTCTCCTTCCCATTAGTTTTAACCACAAGCATTGTTTTTGCTACCTAGGTATTCCACCAGTTCATGAAGGAAAATATATTATCCCTCAACATAAACTAAGCAGGCACAAGGTAGAAATAGCCAACACTCACACTGAAGGATTATAACCTAAAAAAACATTGTCCTATAATGACAAAAATTCTCATGCACTCAAGTAAATGATCAGCCTGGACATTGTTCTCTAGTTTAGCTATGAATTCTTGTAACCTTCCAAAATATTGTATATAAACACTTAAGATCCAGTTCCTCATAGTTAAAGTTTTTGAAGAGTAAGAGTAGAGAAAAATAAGGAGCAGAAAACCTTAAGGGTCATTCTCAAAAGGTTAAAAGAGGACACGTTTCCAAATTACTGAGAATAAGTAGAGCATCAAATCCCACAGATCAACTAGGGGGAAAAAGGGAAGAAAAAAGCCACCGGTAAGTTTTATTTCACCAGATGGTCCCAGAATTTCCACTCAGGTAACCTACTTTACAAGGTATCCAAAGAGGGCTTGTTTTAGTAAAATATAATGGGTGTGGCAGTGTTCCCAGAAGAGAGCTATTAGATAAAGGTTTACAAGGAGCAGGAGCTCTATTTTTGATTTTATAAATCAAAAAGAGAGCATTTATTTCGACTTGAGGGAGATTGTTAAAGAACACTGAGAATAAAAATACAAATAAGTTTTTTTAAATCCTGCATTACAATTCTCATTTATTTACCAAAATTTAATTCAGCAGCTATTGTGTACCAGGCACTAGGGGAACAAGACAAAAGAAAACCATGTTTCAAAGACCTTTCCTCGTAGAATTTAGATAATATGGCTCTGGTATCAAAATACCTGAAGAATACTGAGATGAGAATGAGAATTTCCCACCTGCTATCCCAATCCTGACATTTTCTCCTACGGCCTCCTCCTGTACCCTGGACTGCCTAACACTTCTGTGTCATAGCACCTCACATATGCTGTGTGAGGATGCGTTGTCTCTCTTACTCTCTAGAAATTGGTTTGAGGATAGAGATCATAGCTATCCTACTGAAGCTTATAACCTTTCTCCGTCCTTGCTAAATACTTCACTGAATGTCTAGCTGGCTGGCTGGATGGTTGGATGGATGGATGGATGGCTGGATGAAGAGATGGAGGGACAGATGAGTAGTCAAACAGTTGGATGATTTGCCAGGTTATGGTTAGAATTAGTTCTGCATAACAAGAAAGACTGACAGAGTGGATAAGAGCAGGTACTTCATTTGCTATGAAACGGATTTTTTAAATTCTCCAGGGCTACAATTTCTTCATTTGTAAATTAGGTATAGAAACAATGCTTCCACTATGGTGTCATAAAGTGAGCTGCATCAGGTAATACCTACAAAGGGCTTAGTCCATTTCTAGAGCACAAAATGCTCAATAGATGTCTGCTATTATGATCACCATAGAATAGTAGCTTCCAAGGTGATGAGTTGCTATTGAAATACTGCATCCCTTCTCTTCAGCTCCATTGTAAGATCAAATGATGTCAGTTAATAATTGTAAGCTGAAGTGATGCCAAGCTGGTAATCTGTGAAAAGATTAAAAACGAAAATTTGGGAACATAACTAAGCAGCATTTTGAAAAAAATTAAAACAACCAGAAAAAAAAAAGACAGGAAGAATCAAAAATCTCAACAAGGCATGTCCAGAGCCACTAGTCAGGAGAAATAATACCTCTGTTGCACCTGCACCTAAGTCCAGCCATCCCCATGGACAGGCAGGAGTCCCTGCTCATGATGTGGAACTGCACTCTGTGCCTTACAGAATGTCATGCCCAGTAAGTGTCAGTGACTGTTCGCTGATGTAGAAAAAGAAAGAAAAGTGAAAAAACATTGTTTGAAATTAAATCTTGCCCAGCCCAAAGTACTAAATTACCTTGTTTTTTATGCTTTTGAGAAATCTAATAACCCTTTGTGTGCAAAACCTTTAGTCAAAATTATCACAGCCCCTCCTCACAGAGAACTATCTATTCCCTTCTAAACAAAAACAGTTAACCTATCACCGCTTATGAAAACTCAGTAACTTTAATTCTTTCCTCTGCTTCTATCAGCAATAATACCCTCGGACTCTTCCCCAACCAAAGGGAACTCATGGGGAATTTAAAACTCTACTTAAAATATTTATTTTAATTACTCAGACTGGAGCCGCAGATGGATGGCCCTGGGAACTCCTGGCTTGGCAACCACGGTGCACAACACAAAGCGTGTAATATCTGGTGTGTTGTTCCCTGGCACGCACACTCCGGCCCAGGATACAGGGAAGCTATACCAATCAATAGAAGAACCTGCCCTTTGTCTCAAAATTTTCTGTTCTTATCATGAAAACATAAATGCTGAACATCTGTTTGGAAAGAAAATTTTAAACTTTTTAAATTTAACAGAATTAAATCTGACACTATCTACATAAAAAAATACACACGCATACATATTTTCTTACCTGCTTTGTCTGATAAACAACAGCCAGATAAACACCTCAGATCTTGACACAAAGAGTAATGACTGAAAATATTTGGATTTTTTGTCATATACCGTCTATGCATCCTCTGCTTAGGAGTATCATATTACTACCTTGCAAATTCTAGGCTCATATTAGTAGCACAACAAATATTTGTGGCATCAAGAGAATAAATCTTGAGTGAACTTAACATTTATCCGAATTAAATCACTAGACAGGTAATTTTTAAGTGTAACACATTAACAACTTGGTGGCACATGACTATAATGTCAGCTACTCAGAAGCCTGAGGCAAGATCACAAGTTTGAAGCATCTGTGAAACTTACTGACACTATCTCAAAATAAAAACTATACAGGGCTGTAAATGCAGCATAGTGATAGAGAGTCCCTGAGTTTTATCCTCAGGATTACAAAATGATGATAACAACAACAATAATATAAAAATTTTATCAGTAAAATTAATTTTAAAAACAATACAAATTAAATACATACCATAATTCAAAGAAGTTTAAAGGAAAGAATGCATAGGAAAAAAACCTCCACATTGTGAACAATATCTTTGGTTTTTGTTGTATGTATTTAATTTGTGGTCTTGGGGATTGAAACCAAGGCCTTTTCACTGAGCTTCATCCCCAGCCCTTTTTTATGTTGAGATGGACTCTGACCAAGTTGCCAAATTGCCTGGACCAGGCTCAAATTTGTAATCCTCCTTCCTCAGCCTCCTAGAGGGCTGGGATTATAGGAGTGTACTACCATACTGAGTCATGTTTTTTCTTAAGGAGGTAAAATTATGTCTGTATTTGTACAGTATTTTGTAACTTCTTGTGATTTTTGAGGGAGAATATTTTACTTTTACAGTATCAAGTATGATTTTAATAGATAAAGCAATTCTTCTTTCTTAAAAACCAAGCTATTTACATAGCAACAACATTTCTCATGAAGTTATCAACAACCTTTTCTGATTTAGCTGTTATCTGTATTTCTCTACCTTTGTATAAAAATCAATTTTTTGTCGCTGCAGTCATCATGACAACCTGATTGCACTATTTCTAGAACAGTTCCTAAAAACTACATTTCTACTCTTCAAAAAGTTTTTTGAAGTTAAATATGCTACCTATGAAATTTACAAAATTCAGAAATGAATAACAAGACTTAGCTATTTTAGCAATGACAAACTCTAAGAATTTAAAATTGACTCACTATTTCAAAATTGTAAAATAAATTCTGTTACTTTAAAACTAAAATTTATGTACTTTATTGTGCATAGGTAAATATGTAAATGATACTGAATATGTAGTCATTTAATTACTAATAGTATGATACTATGCAATAAAAAATTCAACAACTACTTATATACATGCCCTAAGCTTTCTATTTAATAAGCAAATACAGTGTCACTAATACTCACTACATCAGATGCTATGGAAAAGGCCTACTTGATTTCCATGAGGTTTGTGAACAATATATGTTACCTAGCCCCTTCTCTCGTAATGATTTAAGTAAATCATTGTACAGATTGGTCATGTAACATATTAATCTACTGACCTGAAATAATAAAAAAAAAGTCAACCTTTTAAGAGGTAAAAAGCTGCGACCTGATCATCTCCACTCTTACAATTGTTGATTTTTATTGGCTATAGCTTCTAATTTGTTTGTAATTAGTTAGGAGTAAAATAAAGGTGAGATGATAGGAAATAGGCAGAAATTTTGGAGATGGGGAAGAGGAGGTGCGGGATGGGGGTGAAAGAATCAAAACTGTCCAAGGTAATTGATAGACAGACAGACAGATAGATAAATCCCTAAAAGACGTGGAATTATTACTTATTGCTATATAGATATATAGTGAGCGGTAGGTAGGTAGAAAGATGGACAAACAGACAGATGGGCAGCAGGTATTACAAGCTGAGCCTGGAATCACCTTATACTCTACACATATTCTCTGGTCTGCTTTTCTACCATGAGGCAAAGCAGCAGGTGGTGCTGGCCAGATGCTGGTCCCTGATCTTGGCCTTTCCAGCATCCAGAACCATGATCCAAATTAAACCATTTTCCTTTGTTAAAAAAAATAAAATCAAGAAATATTTTCTACACATTAAGTCAACCCCAAAATATGAAGCAGATTAAAAATGACCAGGTGAGGCTTCTAGCTCGTGTCTCCTTGTCCTTTCTCAACATACCCTCAACCCTGGCACCTGCAGCACCCTGAGCCCTCAGAGTGTAGAAATCAGCAGCCAGTGGTGTGTTCCTACACTGTGACCTGCTCTAAAAATAATTCTCATGAGTGACTATCCATCCTAATGGTTTGATGACATTTTACATGGAACACAATTGTTTTAAGGTTTCAAGACACTTTGAGGTTTAATTCAAATTCTTATTTCACAGATGAAGCAGTAGAAACCCAGAAAGGAGAATTCACTATTCAAGATCATCCTGAGGAGAAGTGAAACAGAAGACCAGAGCTGGATACCTCCGGCAAGGTAAATTGCTCTGGATATGTCCAGCAGTCTTGTGTTTAGAAATCTGATCTTTGACTGCAAGGTGACATCATTAACAAGGTGATGCTTCTCATTCTGTCTTATTATGCAATCAATAGATAATTCATAATACAATGGACGTTATATTGGCATTTAAGATGATATCAATGAATAAAATGTGGTAACTAGCTTTGGTTAGCAGTGTCTCATAGTACAAAGTGCAGCAGGTACAGGGTTGAGGGGGAGGCCTGAGGAAGGACACTCAAAAAGTGGTTCTTAGTTTACAGATAGTGCAAACTTCTTTGAAATGTGTACAGAAAAGCTTTCATTTCAGCAAAATTTTCATAAAATTCCACCCTTTCCCCATGTAAGTCCTTAGCCTCAAGTTAAGTATGCTGTGACCTAGAACAAGCCAGTCTTGATTCAAGTGCCAGGGTCAGAACTGCGTGGCACCAGTTACTGCCTCATTTATGGGTGTTGGGTTAAGCCTGCTTCTGTTTCAGGATCCTGCATCTTTTATTTAAGTGGGCAGCATCTTATCCTGCAAGGCCTTGCTATAAGAGAAGGGTGAGTCTAAATAAGCATTTAATGAACTAAGTGGGACAAAGAAAAGTACACTAAATTGAAAACATTGTCTTTCAAAAATGTTCATAATGAAAGTGAGAATGATAGGACAAGGTAGGACATTCATTTTTCTTTATTTTTGTCCGCATTATTATTCTTTAGAAACAATAAAGAAAAACAAATAGCCATCTAGAATACCACTTGTCGTATGCTCACTGTTACATCTACAGTAACAGTGACCTCCCAGCCAGCACAAGAAGGGGTGGCAGCTGTGGACAAAAAGGAACAGGTTTATCTTGAGAATGGCTGTTTCCTAATCTTTCCCTTATTACTGAAATAGTTCAATAGATTTATGTTCTGAAATTTATGTTTTGATTTATGTTCTGGAAATAACTTCTTTTTAAAATACTCTTGAATACTCTAATTTTTCTATAAAGTTATTGACAATGAGCTTTGATTTTACTAATTCAAAAACTACTTCTTGATCACTTAGCATTTGCAAAATTGGTTCCAGAAGGCAATGTCGTGTGACAGAAAGAACATTTCAGAGTGAGAGCATCATAGACTGAATTCCAATGTTGTCTCCAACGATTGTTTCTGTTTCCTCTTTTTGAGACAGAGTTTCACTATGTCTTATAAGCTGGCCTTGAATTCCCAGTGATCCTTCTACATCAGCCTTTCGAGTGCTGAGATTACAGGCATGCGTCACCACATCCAGCTTTCCAAATTGGCTTCTGAAAATAAGCAAGGCATAAAATTTAATGTGCGTCAGTTCTTTCACCATTGAGTGGAGGTGACACATTTGAACCTCTTGGTATAGTTCTTACCTTGCAAGAACAGTTTTCCAGAGTGCTAAGGCTTTTTGTCTCCTTTAAGGCAGCCACAGCAGAACTGAAAGTTCTGTAGAATAATCTTTCTGAAAGTGGTACCTGGTAAAGGTCTTCGGTCCAGCCTTAAAGATGATCCTGTTCTGCTGTCTTCTTTCTCTGGTTCTGGCAGTAGTATAGCAGTGTAGATTGGTAGTGATCACAATAGCTAACATTCGCTTAGCTCTTGTTATTATTCTCAATGCTTTTAGTCTTATAGGTACAGAAGTGAAGTTTTGTTAGACCTGCTGTTTTCCAGTTGAGAAAAATGAGGAAAGAAGTGTCTATTACTTATCCAGAGTCACATAGTTGGTTGGAACAGCAGTGGGATTCAACTCCAGACAGGACCAGGAACCCAAGTATGTAACAACTCCAGCACTGTCAGTCAGCAGAATCATCTCCCAGGCCCCGCCTGGTCACCATGGCACCGTGAGCCTTACCTTCTCTATCTTTAACATAGGTATGATGCACCATAAGAATTCACCCTTGGCCCACCACACCTTCATGCTATGGGGCGTCTCTGTTCTTTGAATGGAGTTCCATGTTACGAGATCATGCTTTCACAGATCTCCATTTTCGCTTCGTAGTGCTCCTGTAGCAAACTACAACAGATTTGTTGGCTCAAACACCATTAACATATTCTCAGATAGTCCTGAAGGCACAGTCTGAAGTCCAGGTGTTGGCTGGGCTGCTTACTGCAGAGGCTATAGAAGACTCTTTCCTTGCCTCTTCCAGCTCCTGGCACTTCCAACATTTCTTCCTGGTGTCGAATTCACTCCATTCTCTACCTGTGGCTTCACAAGGCCTTCTATCTGTCTGCTTCCTAAAAGACAGTGGCATTGCTATATTTTGCACTGATCCAGGTAATTCGAGATACTCCCATAAAAATTAATTACATATAATTAATTACATCTAAAACCTTTTCTTTCAAATAAAGTTACATTTGCCAGTTTCGGTATACAGACATGTTTTGGGGGGTGCCTCCATCCAACCATCAACAATGTCTTGATCCACATATTAGAAGATGCTCTTTTGGTATGAGTCCTAACATCAAGCATGCACCTATTCAAAATGAGTATACAATTTAGGTCCATAGTAAAAGTAGCTTACAAAATCTGTTGAAAAATATATATATATATATATATATTAATATGTTCAGTTACCATTAGCTTTCTCTGTATTCACCTGAGAATCAATAAGTTCTCAGGAAACGAACAATTGTTTCCTATTTAAAAAAAAAAACAAGCACAGGTTCAGGGCTTCTCCACTCTGCAATAGGAGCGCAGTGTGGACAGCCAGGTCCTGTGGGGCAGATGAGGGGTGAAGCCAGGTAATATGTCCACACCACAGGTAGTCCCCAGGGAAACAAGAAAGCGGAAACACTATTGGAGTGGCCTTTGATGACCCTACAAAATTCCCTTTGGCAACAGTCTGGGACTAAGTGCTCGGCAGGTATGCTCCTGGCAAATGAATATTACAGTAATACACTTTCACCCTCAAATTGCTCCTTGGCTAAAAGTGTTCAGTTTTTGAAGGGTCGTGAAGTATAATCACAATTGGTAATGATAAGAGGATGAGATAAAAGTTTAATTTTTCATGGTCAGATTGTAGCTATTAAGACAAACAAAGTCTTAGAAATAAATAATTATAAAGTGGCCCCTTGACCACACTGTGGGATTGACAGCTGAGAAAGACATGAGGAAAAGGACCAAAGGGCAAAACTGTCCCCATGAACATGGAACACAATTGCCAGAAACGGGGTTAACACTAGCAGTAGAAAAGCAGTTTCAGCCAAACGTTTAACTGTTTTTCTGTGCTTGGTACTGCCTAAATACTCTACATATTAGACTCTTCTGAACCCTTTATTCAAAAGCAGGTATCATATTACAGAATTTGTAAGTCCCACAATACTGCAGGATCAAAGTTACTAGAATTTTAACTGACACCAAGAATGAACCAAAACATATCAGTTCTCTCAGAAGGGTCTTTGGAATTTTACAGTTTTGAGTTTTCCTCAATGCCAAGAAGGAATATCAAGTGGAACCTGAAAATCATTATTTTGAAGGCTTTTAGGGTGATTTGTTTGCTCGGCTATTGAAAGCACACCTATCCAATTTAGCCAGTCTTGGTGTCACTCCAACTTGAGACTCTCAATGACTTTTCAAAAAGTATTGCTTAGGCTATTTTAAGTTTACTTTAAAATATCAGTCCTAATTGTTAGCATTAGGTTATTCATTGCAAGTTTTAAATTGTGGCATGCATATATATATTAGTACAGAGCCTCATCCCTAGAAAAGCATAGTAGCTAAGTCCCGGGCCAGAAACCCAGTCTCTACTCCAGTACTGCCAGAAATAAGCAGGGATATTTGCCCTGTTCCCATGTTGGTAAGTCAAAGTACAACCGGCAGAAGATGAGACATGTCACCAGTTTCTCATCCTATTTAAAACATCTTCCCATTCGCATACTTGCCAGTCTTTTTAGTTTCAAAACAATACCTTCTTTTTGACAGCCATACAACATTGAAACTGAACTAACCTGAGTTTAGTATATGTTAAATTATTACAAACATTTTCATTAAAATCATATTCCTTATTTTCTTTCCCAGCAAAGACTCTTTCACTCAAGTCTGTCATATTATGCCAAAAAGGAAGGACTGCTCTGAAATTACAATTACTCCACACACCATGTTGCACCATGGCATCAGTTAATAGTTGAACTGGAGAAACATGTTTTCTGTTTTTCTGCATTTGTTGGTGTTAGTAAAAACTATGGGCAAAAAGTTGGTTCCGATAGTCATAAACACTCTGCACCAACAACAACTTGGCTGTCTTGTTAGTGATAACTTTTTCTTCCAGTACATTACTTCTGTAATTCACTTCTAAGTACAAAGTTATGAAATTTAATTAGACTACCTTTAGTTCCCTAAAAGCAATGCGTGCTTTGACTTACACATGTTTGTTTCTTCCTCTCTGGGGAGTCTCTAGAATTATCCAACTCATCCCTGAATGTGTAAAGTAAGTCCCTTAATTGCACTGTAGTTGTGTAACTTTCTTCCTTGGCTGTGGTGCATCACAAACTTTTACGCTAGTGTTTCAGCTCACTCTGAAGGCTTGAGCTTCATGTTTCACTGCTGACATTCACTCTGCTGCCAACATGAGGAGCAGGTTAGCAAAAGAAGGCTGGCAATACAGAAACAAAGAAGGGATCACTGAGATAAGCCTGAAAGGAAGGCTTATTCCAATGACAAGGTGCAATTGATGGGTAAAGACCTTGATGTGGTAAGAATGGGGATATAGTTCAGTGGCAGGGTGTTTGCCTACCATATGCCAGATCTTGGGTTTGATCACACAAACAATTGTTGTGCTAGGTCACAATTGGAAGAGGTTTCCTGAAAGCACAGAATTAAATAGAGTAGGAAAGACTAGAAAAAAAAGTAATAGAAATTTTCTGAGGTGTTTGTTTCAGTTCTATGACTGTGTGCCATTGTGTACCCTAGGCAACAGGGTACACTGCATTTTCTCTCTTTATTGTTTTTAGAATATGCAAAACCTGTGAACAAGAGTTATTGGAGA